ACATGAGAAAATGACACACCATTCAACGAGCACTTACGTTTTAGATGGTCCTGCCTTCTGCACATCTGACGAAGACAATGCAAGAATGCGATCCCAAAAATCGAAAAACTTATGGCAATTATATCCCTGTGCGAGGCTATGTTTTAGCTGTTACTCGCTTTCAGCAGTTGTAAGATTGGGAAAATTCTCTATTGCTTAGGTGTAGTAAAACTTACCTTCAACTGCAAAAGATTACACAAATCTTTTATATGACCTTCAGCTCAGAATTTTCTTGCACAACCTTGGAAAAGTCGTAATTTGGTAATAATCCTTTGTAAGCTACTTATACGCATACAATAAGCATCCCAAAAAAATGCAAAAATAATGATTAATCAGTCGAAAATATGCCTTAAGTGCATTACTCTAGGTTTATGGTGTGGAGCATGTCTAAACTGCTTTGTTCTTGTAACAAATCGTCTGCTGGAGGTATCAAACAGAAGCTTGCTACAAATGGTAGGTAAACATACCATCCTACACCACTTTTAATCTAATAGAAAAGAAAACATTTAGATATATGGAAAGCGAAAAACATATGTTGTCCTTCTGCTTCCACTTTTCTATAGTTTATATTTCTGCTTTTTCACACCTCCGCTTCTTTTCAATTCCGACTCTATGGCATGGTTTTTCTTTACATTCGCTCCTGGCCATGATTCGGCTCAGGTAGTTCCTAATTAATTAAACTATATAAATTGTTGTTAGAAGTATTTAGCTACTCAACTATCCTTAACTTTTCAGTATTACAATTATCCACATACAGCTAACAACTTACTTGTGGTAGCGATAACGTGCTTGCTTTATGTTCCTTATGCTCATGCCCTGCTAAAATCTAAAGCAACTCGCTTAACATGGGCGCAAAAATCTGTAAGTTGTTACCAGTTTATTTTACATTGTGGCGAACTTACTCCTACTTCATGGTCAATAAAAAAATTTAGTTCTTCATTCAATGTACTTCGATTTGTACGGCAAATCTCCTAGCAGCATTGATTTATGTGTACATGCAGTTTTTCGAAACATCTTCATACTTTGTGCTTTTCGGGCACATTTGCTGGCAACTGGGACACGGTAAGAAAACTGTTACGATTTTTTTTGTTTATTTGA